TTTAAGGGTATTTGGCCAAGGCAGACCCTGGTAGATCAAGGATGGGTGGGGAGGACTGGCCTGGTGCCAACGCGGATGTTTAGATAATGACAGTAATTCCATGCCAGGTTGCCTTGCCCTCATTCAATACCTTCCCTGGTAAGAGAGCAAGAAAGTATGAGATGAAAGAGTGTCTTGAATTATGTTTCACAGAAATACCTCTTCTGGGAGGGAAAGAACTATGTCTGGGTGGGGACTAGATTGTCCTGTTGCCACTGACCTTTCCCTCAGTGGTTTAGCTGAGATGGATAATTAGGCGACAGTCTTGAAATGTCTCCTTTACTTGTTCTGCTTGGATTAAGCCCTTTAAAAATCTCTCATTGAAGCCCAGTGATGCTGGTACTGTGTTTCCTCATTTTTATAGGCAAGGCTAAGGAGACACAGAGTTAAGTAACGTGAACACGTTCTCGCAGCTGATGAAAGTGGAGCCAGAATTCACACTCGGGAGTTCTGGCTCCAGACCCTGCCCTCTTAGCCAAGCTGCCGCCTCAGGGAAGGACCCAGCGTGGGATCTCCTGAAGAGTCGGAGCCTCTGCCCGGACTTTCTTTCCCTGGTCCTTTGGTTAGAAATGATATTTCACAATTGATGGGTACTAGTATTTTAAAATCTTTGAATAAAAAAAGGAGCATCAGGCCTAGAGCTTCCTGGTTCTAAGTATACCTAGTAGCTGTTACGATAAGATGAATATAGAAGAATGAGTTCACTGATGGGCTCCCTTGTTCCTGACCACTGGTAGAAAGTTCAGAGGTCTGTGATGGCGTATATCTTCTGCCCTTTGTCAGGTAGCAAAGGAATTATCAGAGTTATTCCATTAACAGAGTGGAAGATTACACCTATGCTATACTTACTACTGTATATTTTTTTGACACAGGGTCTTGCTCTGTCACCTGGGCTAGAGTGCAGTGGCATCATCATAGCTCACTGCAACCTCAAACTCCTGGGCTCAGGCCATCCTCCTCCCACAGCCTCCCAAGTAACTTGGGACTACAGGCGCGTGCCACCACCCCCTCCCCGCGCCCCCGCCAGCTAATTTTTGTCTTTTTTGTAGAGACAAGGTCTTGCTATGTTGCCCAGGCTGGTTTTGAATGCCTACCCTCAAGTGATCCTCCTGCCTCAGCCTCCCAAAGTGCTAGGATTACAGGTGTGAGCCACCGTGTCTGGCCTATACTTGCTATTTCTTGAATATTTAACATATTTAAAAGTTAATGTATGATCCAAGCATAGAATAAAGGCTGTCAATATATTGAAGATAGGTATTTTTTGAAACTATTCATATTTTATCTCTACCCCTTTTTATGGTGAATTTGGGTTTTAATATAGGTATGGATTCTTTGGCCTTTGTCAGAGCTCTGCTGGGAAGCTTTTTCATCACAGAGACCAGCATTTAAGCCTTGTACTCAGCACGCTGAAGTTGGTCTTCATTTTTATATTGTTTTTGTAGGGGTTATTGATTCATGATTGTAAAGGATTCTCTTTTATTGCGATTTTTAAAGATAATAGCTTCAAAAAGAAGCGTAGTTATTAGTGTCCACATAATTTGAGTCAAAATTGGAAATACTTTAATGCAATTTAGTTGTTCTCTTTGACATTGTATGAATATTTATTAAGAATCTCCTGAGACTTTTTCATTTCAGGCTTTTTTAATCAGCATTTGAAAGCATCTGTGTGCCATGCACTGTGTGAGGCATTTTTAAACAAATATTTTTATGTGCTTGCCAAGTGGTAGACTCTGTCTTAAGGCACTTGGAATATAGCAGTGAACAAAACCACAAAAGTTTTGGATTCTGGTGCAGGAGAGGAAAAAAAAAGTGCATGTAGTAGATGGTTATAAATACAAAAATTAAGTGGGGATGAGAGAGAGGTGGGCTAGTTGTAATTCTAAATATTGGGGTCTAGCAGGACTTCACTAGGAAGGGTTTGTGGGCAGTGCAGTGGATAAGATGGGCCCTGCCCTCACGTAGCTTACAGTCTAGTAATGATAACTGTTTCTTGATGAACACTTCACTATGAGGTTAGGGACTCTAAATAAATGTGTACATTTTCCCTCATAGTTTACTGAAATAGAGAACATTATCCCCAGTTTATCCAGAAGGAAACTGAGAGTCAAATAAATTGCCCAAATGAACATAGCCAGTGAGACCCAACTCTGACTCCAGAGCTCATGCTCTTAGACATAGTATTATGCCATGTCAACTGGAGACATATTTGTTACAGAGGAATTATCCAACTTTGGAGATAGGGCTGCTTTATTTTTGGCTCTGATGTGTTGTGCAGTAACTTGGCTGGTTCATGGAGAGTCCGTGTTACCATGGACTTCCCCTCCCTCCTTGTGCTCCTTCTATTTAAAAGGCCTTGGGATTGGGCCCTGTGGCCATGACAGGCAAAGGAGCTGCCAAGTTACTGACTTCCATGGAGCAGGTTGTGTTTGTTGTGAGAAAGTGAACAGTATTTACTCCAGCAAATGATTGACTACTTGAATTCCTGGCATTGCATTTCAGAGATAGGACACTAATTTGGCTGGCCTATGTATCATTGCGTTCAAGAGCATGTTATAAATGCTCATATTTGGAAGCGAATATAAAGTGAGTGAAAGGTAATAATGCCAAGGTCGCTGCTTATTGTGAGTGTTTATCACAGAATAGGCCATATCTTGTATTTCCAATGACTGCTTTTTATTGAGGGCTATGGAAAGGAGGTCAGGGGTTCAGGAGAGCTCCACTTGTCCTTCTGGCTTGAGTGTACTTGTGATAAAAGTGGGATGATTTTCAGCCTACTACACCCTTTGCATTAGGTATTGATGGATCTTTTGTGTTTTGGCTAATTTAATATTTGAGGTGTGTATGTTGGTGATTAATCTAAAAGGTGGCTATATATTTACAACTTTTACAACTCTGTTATTTTATTATTATTATTTGTGGAGACAGGGTCTCTGTCGCCCAGGCTGCAGTGCAGTGGCGTGATCATATCTCACTGTAACCTCGAACTCGTGGGCTCAAGTGATCTTCCATAGTAGCTAGTACTACAGGTGCACGCCACCATACCCAGCTAATTTTTCTTATTTTTTAGAATTGGGTCTCGCTATGCTGCCTGGGCTTGTCTCGAACTCCTGGTCTTGCTCAAGTGATCCTCCTGCCTTGGCCTCCCAAAGCACTGGGATTACAGGCATGAGCCACTGTGCCCAGCCTATCCTTGTTATTTTTTTATTGTCAGTTTCTAGTGACTTTCCCCACTTACTACTTCCAAAATTAAGTGCTATTGATTTTTTATAAGATGATTTACTTTTCACTCAAGAGGTAAGCTTTGGTTTGAGCAATTGGGCTGTGAGATTTATTCTTATTTACCTTTTTTTTAATATACAAAAGAAATACATGTTATAAATGTACCATTTAAAGACTTTAGAAACTGAATACAGCCAGCTTCCCGATCAAAATATAAATTGTCAGCATCCTAGAGGCCTCCATCCTCTTCTAGTCAAATTTTGTCATTCCCTTCCTGTAAGGGTAACCACTATCCTGACTTATAACAGCATATTTTTGTTTTGCCTGTTTTTGTGCTTTATATGAATGGACTAATACAACCTGTACTCTTTTGCATCTGGCTTCTTTTTCTTCCCATTGTTTATGAGGTTGAATCTATGGTTGTATGTCGTTGTAGGTTCTTCATTCTTATTGCCATGTAATATTTCACGGTGTGGATATTCCACAATGTGTTTTGCTGTTAAAGACGTGCAGCTTTACCTTTTTGCTATTATGAATAAATATTCTTGTATATGAATTTTGGTGAACATACATAAACATTTGTGTTGGGTATATACCTAGGAGTAGAATCATGAGGTCATAGAATATGGATATATTTAGCTTGAATAGATCTACCAAGTGAGTTAAAAGTTTAAGTAGTTGTACCAATTTACATTTCCACCAGTAGTGTGAGAGTTTGTGAATTTTATTGAGATGATTTTTTGGGAGTGGGTGAGAGGGGCCTATTATTCTTAGGTCCATTTCAGTTCATGTTTGTCCTGTGGAAAGAAATGGTCATAGTTGCCTTGTTGATTCTTTGAAAGCTAAGTCCAATATTTATCTGTTTACTCACACTCTCCTTTTTCTTTCTCTCTGTGTATGTGAATACATGTGTTCTATGTCTTATACACACATATAGAGAAAACATGCATATGTGTATATTTTACCTTACAAATATACTACTGTGCTGATGGACGAGAGAGCCCCCTTAGAGTCCTTCTTGCTCAGGCTTCCAGAGTCTGAATTTTTGCCGATCTGCAAAAGTATCTCTTATGGGGGAAGCACATTATTTTCAGGTGACCCATCCCTTTGATAAATAATATGCTTTTGCCTTTTTAACATTGAGGTGGCATCTGCTTCTTTTTAACTTATCCCATAAATATCATGCCCTTTAGATAGGTGAGCCAAAAACTCATAATTCTTGTGATAAAGTTTCTCTAGGCAGAGGTTCATGACTATGTTTTTTAAATGGCACTTTTAAACATCTACAGGGTCAAAATGTCCGAGCAGTTTGCTTTGGGGAACTTGGGTACGAAACCCTGTGGCTGATGGAGAAACAACTCAGTGCAAAGCGGCTTTTTGTTTTTTTTTGTTGTTCCCAATTTTCTTTTCATGAATACACTGATTTTTCCCCCTCCTTGATTGGGTTTAAACATTGTTTAAAATGAAAATACAAAAAATGTAAGTAATGCATTTTAAACATGACTCTAATGAATAAAAGGTGAGGAAAACATAGCTTTCTATAGAAAACTGGCCATTATATTTCATCAAATAAATGAATATGGAAACATTCTTCTGATGGATAATATGTGCTCTAAGACTTCTGAACTTCTAGGTGATATTAATATTTATAGAACTTTAGAATAAAATGGTTTTTTTCTTTCTTATAATTAATAATTTAAGGTTCACAGATATTACTTAATAGATATTTTCTTTCTTCACAGGCAAGAAGAGACTGATAGGAGACTGAAAAATGTAAGATGTATTTACTTTAAATATGGAGCACTATAAGTGGGTTTTACATCTAAGTTCTGTAAGAAGACAGTGTATCTAAAAATAGACTCTGTATCCTTTTTCTAATTAACTTTTTGCTAGAAACCAGCCAGTCACAAACTGTAAATATGTTTAAATATACATACTATAATATAAGGTTAGAATATATATTTTCTGACTTCATGGTATAAGAGGGTAGGTTAGATTTAGGAAGCTGGTTGTTAGGTGTTAGTAATGTGCTGAAGGCAAGTAAACACTTTTTAGGAATTTTAGGGGAATAAATAGGAAACCACCAAATCAAACTTTAAGGAAAAACACTGTCTGTTTAAAGACTCTGGGTAATTGCTCAATGCAGAGTCATATCTTTAATATTCAATACATCATATTAAAAGAATATCTAAAAATGTGATAGCTTTATTTTTAGAAAGCTTAACATCCTTATCAAGGAAGCTCAGAAGTAATTGATTTTTAGTTGTTCATTCTGTAAGTTTGTTAGAAAAATATTGATTTATTTAAAGGTTTTATGTTTTTCTCTTACAGTTTTTTTTTTCTTCTTCATATGTACTAGTATGAATACCTTTTGGAATCTGGGCTTTTGATCTAAGAAATTTGCTCAGAGACAGAAAAATCTAAAAAGAATAATTAAGATTTCTAATGGCCTTTCCACTTCCCAAATACGAAAGTAGGCTTTTTAACCGTAGAGTGATATGTGCTGTCATTTATCTATAGTATTCACCTTCATTTGAGCTTGCCATTGGGTATTAAATAGACTGATCTTGTTCATGGAATTTTTTTTAAAGGTTTTGATAACGTTGTACTGGCTGGGAAGAAAAGCACAAAGTAACCCCTGCTATAATGGTCCCTATCTAAATTTGAAAGCATTTGAGAATCTTTTAGGACAAGCTCTGACTAAGGTAAGGAAACTGCATTTGTATGAGACTACTGTAATACAATAATTGCTGCTTCCTCCTCTTCCCCCTCCTCCTCCCCTTCCTCCTTCTCCTCCTCTCCCTCCTCTCCATAACAAATATGGTGGTACCACCTTTGCTCCACTCTAGGTTGGGCTCAGTAGAAACAATTGCTACCCATTTGCTGGCTTTATATGCCATCACCAGAGAGTGAGTTGAGTCTATTCTAGTGCAATTTCCTAGGTATAGAGACATATCTTTTAATTTTAGATAATTTGACACATGCATGTGCTTCCTTTCCCAATGCTCTATATAACTTAACTGTTTCTTTTTACTCATTATGAACTCAACCTGTAGTAGAGAGGTGCTTCCTGGGCTATTAAAATGTGTAGAAGTTACTCAGTTTTAAAATATTCATGTGTTCTTGTCATAGGTGATTATATCCCTAATGCTTACACTTTAATATCCCTCCAATTCTACCATACTGGCTCTGTTTCCTAAAGAGTAGTGAATGCTAAGTGAAACTTGATAAGGTTTTTAAGTGAGAATCTTTTGTTTTATATACATTTCTAGTCCTTCACGTCCCGGAATCAATATGACAGCCTTTTGAAAGCTTTAGGACCATTTGAGGACAGCCAAGTACCAGGGTTAACCATAGTTCTGCCAAACATTCATTTATAAGATCCAAATGGGAACACTAATTTTTCTGTAGGGGTATTTATCCAGGGGAATTTGCAGGGCTCAAAAGAAAATATGTATTCAAAATGATATCACTATCTAATTAGTGGTACTTGCTCCAACGCTTTTTCTGATGATTAAATGATACCATACCAGTAAGACATTTAGCATTAGGCTCTAGCACGTTGTAAGGATTCAATAAACGTTAGTTACCAAGATTGGAACGTAGAAATTTGAGGCCAGGATGCAAATGATCACCTTGCCTTTTATCTACCCTGATCTTTAAATCATTTTGTCTGGGCCCAGTCACATACATTATAAAGAGAAGATGGGATTATGGAGCCTAGAAGGTTTAGATATTATTCCTTTTTTTCTCCCCATGAAATATAAGGAATTGATAGCTCTCTATTTAAATTCCTTGAATAAATTAGTAATAATTGAGATATTAACATGCACACACATTGTACTAGGTGTTAGGAAAACACTGATGGCAAATGATCCAATCTCGCAAAGCACAATTGTCTGCGATAGATGAGCAGATTGGTCGTTGCAATGAAGGAGGGTGAGGCTCTGATGGAGGAATTTCAGGGGACTTTGGGCACAGGGAGAGCCTTGCTTTATATTTCAGCTAAGAAAACTTTCAGTTAAAAACTGTGTGGGACTTTGGCTTATTCGTTAGTGTTCTCTTTAAAGCCTTTAGTCCTTTTTATGACAGCCTGACTCAGGTTGAATAATCCAGGCATGGTGTCTGTGCTAGGAATGCTTCATTAGAGGTTGTTTCCTGTCACCAGTGTCAAAATCAAACTGGGTAAAAAGATTTTTTGGTAGATAAAAACTATAGTTGTAGTTTCATTATTCCATTATTATAAAGTGGGGATAGCTGTGAGGCATGCGAATATAACGTCGGCTTTGCATCAGTTCTATTAAAATAAAAACCATTGTGTTTATCAAATGTTTCCCATTTAACTCTTAATGCTTAAAGGCTAATCCAAAATACCAATTAAAAAAAATCCTTCATATAAGTTTTTGCATCTGAGTCATCTTAGAAGTTGGAGGTGACTCATTTTAGGTGACTTGTCAGGGTGAAGTCCTCGTTAAAAACCAGGCACCAGGGCCAGACTCAGATTATTTTATAACTGAAGTGGCTGTCACCAATAACTTTAACGTTTTTGAGGCCAAAAATCACCTTGCTGTGTGTTGAATTCTAAGGCTTTAACAAGTACACGTCTAAGAAACCTGATGGATCTAAAGACTGACTCACGTATTTTTTAATCCTTTTGTATTTTGAGAAGTATTTTGGTGGTACCAGTACTAGGCCTATCTTCCTCATCTGCTTGGAAATAGCAGGGTGTAAGGTAGACACTTGTGTTTTCATGACAAGATGTCAACTCTAATGCCAGGGTATCTGGCATCTAAAGCATATGAAATCTTACTTAAATCTGCTAGACCTTATTGGTGCTTCAAGCACTTGTCAAATAATTGAACCATGAAATGATGGTTCCAGTATTAGTCAAAAGTATGCCTGAGTCAGCTACTAAATATTCATTGTAAACCTTCTCCAACAAAATGTTGAAAATACTCAAAAGTTGAAAGAATAGTACAACAAATACCCAGATATGCACAATCTGATTCAATTATTAAAATTTTCCACATTGGCTTTATCTATGTATCTATCCATCTATGTTTTCACTTAACCATTTTATGGTAAATTACAGATATCGTAAATACTCAACATGCATCTCCTAAGAGTATGAATATTCTTTTATATAGCAACAATGTCTGCTATACTTTTAAAAAACTCAAATATTCCCCATTATCTAATATCCAGTTGATATTAAAAATTTCCCAACTGTTTCCCAACTGTTTTTCATAGCTCTTTTTTTAATCTGAATCATGATTTAATCAAGATTTATATATTGCTTTTGGTTGTTAGTAATTCCTAGTTTCTTTAAACTGTCTCTGTATTAGTAAGCTCAGCTGAAAGTAACATTGCTGATTTTTACCATAATGACAAAATTACTTTCACCATATTAAAAAATTATAGTTACTATAGTTAGATATTCATTGATTACTATCAGTCAGGACTATGCCAAGAACATTGCAAATATTAGTTAAATCCTAATATTAAAAAGTGTAGTTATATTTTGCCCTTAACTTTCATAAAGGAATGTTAATTACAAATGCTTATTTTGAGTAAGTTCTATGTAATTTACAAACCTACAGTTAACACCATTTGCCATATTTCAATGTATCTCTTATATAGCCAAACAAATATTTAGATCCAGGGAAAATAAGTTTCATATGTCAGTAAACAAGTATGCTTCCCTTGACTGAACAAGAAAGACAGGGCAGCTGCCAGGACCTCAGATCTAGGTTTTGTAATTAGTGAATATAAATGAATTCTGTGAAATGTGTGCCCACTGTTCTTGTGCATACATTTTTAAACTATTTTTTTTTTTTTTTGTGGGAGGAGGATAAAAGGACTCTAAATGTTAAGGTTTTGTGTTTAATGTAAACTATCCCAAATATTTCCTGAGATAGACTGAACATAATCTTATTGACTTTCTCCCTTTGGGTAACTAAATTAAGGTTTTTTTTTTTCTTTGACTCCTTTCATGTTTATTGCCAGAGAACTGTAAATAATCATTGATTTTAGCATTTCAACATCATTATAATTATTAACTTTTATTAAAGTATTCTCCTTTCCCTATTTTTAAATAGATCCTATGTACTACTTTATTAGATAATATTGAAAATCTCCTTATTGTTACTTTGAATATCGAATACTTCCTTATTAGTTTTGGGGAAACAGTGACAGATTTATTTTCTGATTTTTATCAGCTTTTTTTCTCATGTTCAACAGAGAAATCTCATTGCCTTACCTATCAAATAAAGCACAACTTAAATTATGCAAACAAGCAAATAATGATTGATTACATTTCTGAAAGTTTATGTTAACTTACTGTTCTTTAAAAATGTTTTCTTCAGGCACTTGAAGACTCCAGCTGCTTGAAGAGAAGCGGCAGGGACAGTGGCTACGGTGATCTCTGGTGTCCTGAACGTGGAGAATTCCCTGCCCCTCCAGGCCACCACAGGAGAGAAGATTCCTTTGAAAGCTTGGACTCTTTGGGCTCAAGGTCATTGACAAGCTGCTCCTCTGATATCACACTGAGGGGAGGACGTGAAGGCAAGTTGCATTTTTGGCTGTTGTTTTTTATTTGTTCACCTATCAAGAGAGAACTGGGAAGAGAAGAGAATAGAAAAATGGAATGAAAACTATTTAAGCAAAAATTTCACCAAGAAGTGGATTTTTATAGGAACCTAAGTGTAATTGGGAGGTTTTTTTAAAAATCTTTTCCTCCCTTATAGTGGTGATAGTTTTGCTTTTTTAATTCCATTTTTAGAGAGGACTGGGGAAGGAGACAGGTAACTGTGACCTGTTTTATCAGTGATGATCTATTCCACCTCTTGTATATCCAGATTCAGGTTTAATACTCTGTAGCTATGAGGCCTATTAGCTGATATATCTAATCATTAAAAGCAATATAAGATTTTGCAAAAACAGTCTGTTCTAGTTCCTAATTTTTTTTTCTTTTCCTCAAAAGATAAAAAATTTCTCTTAAGAAAAAATAGGAAAAATATCTTTATCATTATTCCTGTCCATGAGAAGAAATGATTGCTATCTATCATGGTAGAATATTATGCTAGACTTTGATAGATTGGGTAATATGCTACCTAATGTGGTGGCAGAACCCCTCTTTTGGACCTCTCAGGGTCAGAGCTAACCCAGGACAGAGCAAGTGTAACAGGACCGTGTTAATGAAAGTCATTCTGTTGTGAGAAGGACAAAATCCCATGAAATCCTTCTTTCAAAATCCCAAGCTTATGGTCAATTCAGTTATTTAAATTCATGTCTCAGGGCTACTAGGTAGTGTTAGCAATTTGTGACTGTAAATCTCTAGCTATTCAGATTTGACTAGATTGAAATCACAGAGTTTCTTGAAATGTTTCTATGCTTTTGCCATCATCAACATGAAAACATTGAGAGTCTTGCTGTGAATTTGTGCTCAATTGTTAGGGATTTTACTTTGCTTGTTTATTTTGAACACTTTATACATCTAAATGCCTTTCCTAGCATTTTTACTATAAAAAAACAAACATCAGCAAACTTAAAATAATTTTACAGTGAGCACCCATGTATTCACCACCTAATTCTGTCATAACATTTTACTGTGCTTGCTTTATCATATAACCATCTCTCTCTTCTCTCTTCTTTCCTCCCTCCCTCTCTACCTCTCCCTTCCTTTCTCTTTCTCTCTCTCTCCCCCCCATCCCTCCATTAATCTAGTCATCTTATTTCTTTAGGCTTTTCAGAGTATATCCCACTTGCCCTACATATTTTGGTATGCACATCATTAACTAGAATTCAATCTTTGTTTTTTTTTTTTTGATGTAAAATTTACAAACATGAATTTGCTTTTTAAAAATAAAGTTATTCTTTAGTAAGCATGGTAACATAAAACCAAATTCTTTAACTTTTAGAGTAGTAGTATTCAAAAATGCAAAATAAAAAGTGTGAAAGGTTATTTAAGCATTAACCTTCATAATTTTCCCTACATTTCTTGGCTCTTTCACATTTAGATGTGACATTTTCATAGCCCAGATGACAATTACCAGGCAATGAAAAATACTTTTAAGTTAATGAATCCGAGTTTATAATCCATCTGAGTGGTTAAAGCTGTAAAAGCAGAGGCTAAAATTCTGAACCCATAATATTACTTTGTCCTCACTGAACAACCTACAACATGCAATGTTTAAACTTATATCTGGCCAATAAAGAGTAAAAGGGGAAAAGATTGAGGGCATGTGAGCATATGCAGACTTCTCTCAGTTCAAATGCAGTGCTCCAGTGGTGTGGAATCTAAGTCCTCTGCCCGGATCCATGTTGCACTGGGCGCCTGGTACATGAAACCAAAAGTGGAGGGCCAACGTCACACCCCTTCCTGTCCTGGAAAGGGGCTGCAGACCTTGTCTAATGAGTGTGGAAGTGAAGTCTCACTAATTACAACTGAGCAGGAAAAAACAAAAAAATGCCAGAGGTGGAGGCACCAGGTTGATAAAGCTTTTTTGTGATTAGTATATTAAAATTCTGTTACTCTCTGGATTGTAGTCCAAAATTGAGGATCACCACAATTTAGGATAATATTTTCAGGATAATTGAATGGCAGTGTTATATTTCCTAGTTTTATATGAAAACTCTTATGATGATAATTAGGCAAAAACAACAATAGTCACAACAACAACAAAAAACCCCAAAAGACTCTTCAGGACACTGTCCTAAGCTTAAAAAAGATTTTAACTTTAAAAATTCAAAAGTAGAATAGTCTATTTCTGATTTTATAATTTCACTTGTATAAATTTTGACAAGAGTCATCAAATACATTTCTTGGAAATGAGAGAAATGTCTTAATTTTTTTTATAGTGGTTCAAAACATAGCATCAGATTGTTGAGTGCTACTCCTCCTGGTCATGTAGCCACTTATACTTTCTCCCTTTCACCATGAACTCTCTTCTTACCTTGTTCCTGTGTCATAGTTGTATATTTAACCACTTCCTGTAGACTGTTCTCAGTGTTATTTACTGTAGATTCCTGCCAGGCAGGAGGGAGGGGAGGAGACTGCCTTTAACTCAGGTTAACCCCGCAGGTGCTCTACGTGCTGGGAGCCTGTGGCTGTCAGGTACTGTGCACAGCCAGGCTCTAAGGGAGCCCGGTGGGAGGCAAACCTTCACGGATGCACAGGAAGCAGGAGGAAAAGGGCAGGAAAGAGACAATCGGCTTGGATCTGTAGTGTTGTACTCTCTTATTTCCTTACCGTGTCTTTTAAAAGAACAGACATTTTTTAAGAAAGCAGATTACTATTTGTATCTATCTGACCTTGAGGTGTATCAAAGGGTATTCTTTTGAATTTGTGTTTAAATGATTTTGAATCAAAATACAACATTCTAATATAATTTCCATGGCCACCCCCAGAAGAAACCTTGAGTTCTGTGCTCTCGTTTGGGTTTAAGATTTGGGATTATTCCTTTGGGACTTTAGAAGTCATCCAGTCCAACCTCATTTCTAATGCATGATTCTTGCTCATGGGGGTCTCATAGGATCTATCAGAGCCCTTCATGATCTTGTGCTTTTTTTGCTTCTCTTTCTAGGTCCTTTCTTATCTTTCCCTGCACATAAATTTTAGATAGCTGCATGCCTTATTTTAAATTACTGAGTTTCCCTAGAATTACTTTTGCATGTCATTTTAAGTGTGTGTGACTCAATTGCTAGATTTTATTCACACATGTTATATCACCAAATCTTATCATGGAGGCAAAGAAGATGGAGAAGAAAAGGGGTTCAGTAGTAAAACTGGGACTTTTCCTGCTTAGAATGTGCGACAGCAAAAGAATGTACTGAGTGTGCCTCCAGTATGCAAAGCAAGTTCCTCCTAATGGATCTTATCACAACTTCGTGACAAATTTCTAAAAATATTCCCCGCAGTTAGCAGTGACAGCACTGGGTTTCCAAGGGAAAGACAAAGCAGGCATGCTGTGTGGGTTTCACTTAGACGAAAAATCTGGAGAGTAAAGCAAATTCTTGTGCTTTCTTTATAGGTTGCGAAAGTGACACAGATTCTGAATTTACGTTCAAAATGCAGGATTGTAATAAAGATGATATGTCATATCGAAGGATTTCGGCTATTGAACCAAAGTCTGCTTTGCCATTCAATCGTTTTTTACCCAACAAAAGTAGACAGCCATCCTATGTGCCAGCACCTTTGAGGAAGAAAAAGCCAGACAAAAATGAGGATAACAGAAGAAGCTGGGCAAGCCCAATCTATGCAGAAGCAGATGGAACATTTTCAAGGTACTGGCATGCAATGTGATTATTGAGTTCAGTATGCTTTGCGAATTTGGTGGGATACTTAAATGTGGTAAAAAGAATGGCTTTTAAAATATGTTTCACAGATAATGTATTCCACTAACTCGAATTTTTTTTTCCTATATGTATCTTGAAGATATTTCTTCGTTTTACAATGTCAGCATGCATTTTGCTAGGTCTTATTTTAGATGTGTGCTTTTAATTTATTATTATTTTCCAACTTTCTAGATGACTTATATTGTTCATCGTGAGCTCTGCTGTGTTTTTTTCCTTTTTTTCCCCTCTGTTTTGATTAATCTTAGTGGACATGAAAAGAATCCTTTAATTTCTCATCAAATTAGTAGAACAGAGTGTGATTTTTCAAATCCAGCTTCCCTATCAGAGGGTGTGTGGTTCTGAAAGTGGTTTGGACTTTGAGGATGAATGAAGGTTGCCTGTCGTAATTTTGGATGACTTAGTCAACCGTAGATTCCAAGGGAAAAAGAGGCTCAAGAGTTTCATCTCAAAAACCACCTCTCCTAACTCTTGTCTGCAAATATTTTCTCCTCTGGACACATTAGCCACTGGGCTATATGAACTGACGAGGTCAGAAATATTTGTCCTGGATCTGGATGTCTATTCTGCTGATTTTAATTCAGAAAATAACATCCCCACATTGTTTGTAATTTGTCTCTTTCTTTTAACGCAGCTTCTAATTAAGTATCTGTGGCCCATGTGTATCTACCTGTTCTTGAATTAAAATAAGATGCTATCATAATGCCTTAACTTTGTTCTAGGAGCTGTGGTGATGAGAATGGGAACTAATTTGCTTCCTTCACAGTGGGGTAAACTGTGTGAGCCAGAAAGCATGCCTTTTGTGTTCTGTGTCACAAATGCTCACACAGTGTCCTAACTGGTTGGATGTTTTGAACAGTAACCAGAGGAGAACTTGGGGCCCCAGTGTGGAGAACTGGCCAACAGTACAAGAAACTTCAAAATCCTCTTGCTACTTGGAGGAGGAAGAAAAGGCAACAAGCATACCCAACATTGTAAAGGATGATCTTTATGTGCGAAAGCTGAGTCCAATCATGCCAAACCCAGGGAATTCTTTTGATCAGTTTCTTCCCAAATGTTGGATCCCAGAAGATGTGAACTGGAAAAGAATAAAACGGGGAACTTATAAACCATGGTATAAAGAATTTCAGGGATTCAGGTTTGTTTTTGTGCATGTTTCTCTTATTCCAGTGTTCATTCAGTACCCCGGCTGGGATTCTATGTGATTTTTTTATGGAAAGATAGAGAAAGTCTAATTAGTTCCTTCTAGCATCTATACAACCTATGTAATTGAAAACAATTTCTGTTTAAACTTAAAGCTTAGGATATGGATCTTAAAAAGCCCTCTTCTGTATGTAGTCAGAGCTTGGCATTATTTTTAGTAGTTCTCTTTTTCTCCAGTTCTGTTGTCTCCTTCCCTCTCCCCCTCCTTTTCTCTGTGTCACTCCACAGTAGAAAGAATTCAGACTCTGAGGACTCAGGCTCTGACAGAAGCTCCACCATTTTTAGTAAAGTACAAAAAGCAGACCATAGCCTAGACATCAGCTGTCCAAGGCGTTCACTCTTGCTGGAACTAGCTACTAAACGGGCCGTGAGATCACGGGACACCCATGCTGCCGGGAGAAGCAGTGATACTTCAGATGAGCCCAGGTGCACCTGTCTGCATGAGCCTGCCTGGGTTTGGCCACAGACACCCCTCTGCTCGCTTCTGCTGCTACATTAACCTGGGCCTGACTGCACTAAATCATGAAACTTTATACACTTAATAGACTTAGTACAGAAGCATACTGTATAACATACTGCTTTCTGCGTGAGAATGTCAGCTTGGAAGTCTGTAGCATTCAACATCCTTCTTTAGCACAATAATGTGTGAGACAGGATATATTTACATGTGGCGTAGTTCTTTTCGAAAGGCATTTCCAAAAGGCTTTTTAGAAAGATTACTTAATTTTACAGTTGCGTGTGGAGATGCAGAGAAAGGAAATAACTTTAGATAGAGACTGGAAAGGGCAGGTCTGGGGAAAACGCAAAGAATAGATTCCTCGGTGTCTTATAAAACTTCAGAACAATTTATTTTCTTTTTTTCTACTGATTACATGTAGCTATTGCATAAAGTGCATAATACCTCACTGTTTAAACTTGCCAAGATCATTCTTCCTTCTTTGGGGGGAATTAGGCCACTGTGGCTCATGGAGTGAGGAAGGGGTACAAGAGAATGGCACATGTGTGTGTATGTGTCAGGGGAGGATACTAGATCTGCCTTCCAGCCCCATCAGTTGGCCTCGATGGTGCCCGCCTCTCCTGAGAAGTGTACTCTGCTCTTGTTTCTTTAAATGGTATCCAGAAAAGTCACAGGCGATGGCATTAAATTTGAGTCTGTCTTCCTAGCAAAAGTCCCTGCCAAGATCCCTTAAAACAATTCACCCTTGGTAAATGGCTAATTGGTCTGCTATTTAATTACCTTTTCTCCCCAAACTTAATAAGATTCTCCCTTCCTTTTTCCTTTCTGTGCTTCAGTCAGTTTTTATTACTTCAGGCCTTCCAAACATACTCCGATGACATCTTGTCTTCTGAAACAAATATTAAAATTGATCCCACCTCTGGCCCCAGGGTCATAACACGCAGGAAGAATCTCTCTTATGCTCCAGGCTATGGAAGAGATGATCTTGAGCTGTCAGCTCTGGATCCTGACTTAGAGAATGACGATTTCTTTGTCAGAAAGACTGGGGCTTTCCATGCAAATCCGTATGTCCTCCGAGCTTTTGAAGACTTTAGAAGGTTCTCTGACCAAGACGATCCTGTAGAGCGAGATATAATTTTGCAATGTAGGGAAGGTGAACTTGTACTTCCGGATTTGGAAAAAGACGATATGATTGTTCGCCGAATTCCAGCACAGAAGAAAGAAGTGCCTCTGTCCGGAGCCCCAGATAGATACCAACCAGTCCCTTTCCCTGATCCCTGGACTCTTCCTCCAGAAATTCAAGCAAAATTTCTCTGTGTACTTGAAAGGACGCGTCCATCTAAAGAAAAAAGTAATAGCTGTAGAATATTAGTTCCTTCATATCGGCAGAAGAAAGATGACATGTTGACTCGTAAGATCCAGTCTTGGAAACTGGGAACTACTGTGTCTCCTATCAGTTTCACTCCTGGCCCCTGCAGTGAGGCCGACTTACAGAAATGGGAAGCCATCCGGGAGGCCAGCAGACTTAGGCACAAGAAACGGCTGATGGTGGAGAGGTCAGAGTGTGTTTCTGCAAGGATTTTGCTTGTGATGGATGGTCTTGTGTAACTTTTCTTGTGCAAGAAGGCAGCATCATGTTGCTCAACTCTGCATGTCGTGTGCCATTTTGAAGCATCTTGCAAAAAAATTAATTCGCTTTGAAAAACTTTTAGTCACTTTGTGGAAAAAAGTGCAATTCCATATTTGCATATCTCTAAATCACTTGTTTAGGCCTGTTTAAAAAGGTGTATACACAAGACTATGGTACTATTCTACAATATGAAGTTTCATAAAAATGTTTTCCAATTATATTTAGACTTTTATTCTTGTGGCATTTTTGTAACAGTCCGGTTATAGTTTTGGTGTTGTGTGTTGTTCATATTTTTGGGGGTGAAAGTTTCCCTTAAAATATGGCATTGCAAATTTAATTTAATTTTTGTTTTTAATCTAGGCTTCTTGGACTATCAATTTGTGACTTATTTTTATTTACAGTTTAAAGTTCAGTGCAAACTTCGATAAAATGCATGAATGGTAGTTGCTATCTGCTGAAGTTTACATGTATGTAATTGTGGCCATTTTGTTAATTTGAATTATGCAACTTGCCTTTTTGAATGTTCAATTTGTTGAACTTAAGGATGGACAAATCTGATTAGGTTGAATAAAATTAGTGGATCCAAGTCTAACTTATCAGTTCCTGACAATAAGAAGCCTTTTCTGATGGGATTTGTTGGCTCACAGTAAATTGAGGAAACCCTTCATTTTGCTTAATCTGATTTTCTTGAGATAGGAGATTGAAAAGAACTTGAGACATGAAAATGTGGTTGAAGAAGCAACCTTTTGAGATTTATCCATCTCTAGTTAGAGTCTTAAAGACATTGAACATTTAGAAGCTAAAACATGACTTTTTAATTTTTGGTTTTCTGGTTTCTTAGACTCTTTCAAAAGATTTATGGTGAGAATGGGTAAGTTTTGTGGTTCACAGTGAAAAGCTGTGCATATTGTTTGTTTTTTGTGTGGCTTATTATTGCACTTCTATCCTCGCATGTCACTAAATGGGGATGCTATATGCTGTGCATGAAATTTTTAAAATGGGAAAATTTTATTTTGCAAACTAATGGTAATATTTCTGTGTCTCAGTGCCCAGTGCATGAAGTGTTATATGACTAAATAGTTTTTGTTTTATTAGAAACTTAAAATTCAGTCCCATTCGTTTTCCCCCTTTTTTTGAATTTAATGAGTTGATTAAAAGTAACAAAAGCACTTGCATTAAGATTAAGTATATGTGTTTGGTTGCTACATAGACTAAAATTCTGATTTCTGGATGTTGAAGGCCAAATAACTACATTTTAGAAAATCTATCATGAAACAATAATACTAGCATTTACTTCAATGTTAGAATGCATACAGTTGACATTATCCATATGCTCAGCTCATGGGGGGCTTTGTTGATGGGGATGCATTGATCTTCCCTTAGTGGTATTTGGAACTATGTTCAAGTCCTAATTGGGACAAAAAGTTATAACATTCCTGTGTTTTTTGAGCAAATATAGCCTTCCGAAATTAAAATCTCTGTAGTTTCCAATATTATTACTGCAAGGACTGTATCTATAACCAATTCTTTTTTTTTTTTTTGGCCTACTGTTTAATTCTGCTTACCTGGTAGACAGAATAACATATTATAATTTAAAACTATCTGGAAATATTTTTCATTTCTAGAATAGCTGAAATTTAAAAGTAAATCATTTATTCATTCTTAGTGCAAAATCACATAGCAATATCTTAATATTTTCCACCAAACTTTCTGTAACTTTGTGAATCTAAGGACTAACAGTTTTTGAGCAAGAGGAAGAGAATTTAAACATATCAAGTATTTTAATCTGCCTAAGCCTTAGTGCCTAAGCCTTAGTTCCTAAGTATCTTTCTCTACATGGATTTATTTTGTCTCTAAGAATCTCTAATTTTTGATAGCTTTTTATAATTTTGGTAGTTCAGAAATCTTGGAAGCTACTAAGACTACTATTTAAAGCAATATAACCATTCTAAGTGTTGAAAGTGTAGCTGTGCCTTGGACAACTAATTGCAAGTACGTCTCAGCTACTGATTTTAAAAATCCGCTTCTGAGCATGCTTTTGATGTGCCATGTAAAGGCACATTGTACCCATTCCATCTCATCAGCGTGATGCTTAAGCATTTGCTCTTCTCAATTTATCATGAGAAACCTGTTTTAACTTGATTAAAAATCTCTGCAGCTTCAAGCATTTTGAATTCTAACCTTCGGAAACATTTCTATTTGTAAATATGACTTCACAATGTAAGCAGGTCTCAGGAATAGTTATTTTTCTTAAGGGGGATACAAGTACCCAGAGTACAAATATGTGATGGGAATGTGAACATGTACAACCATCTCAATGACTGTATATGTTCTCCTTGGTGAGGGGTAAATTATATGACTGAGTTAAGAGAAGAAGAGAGAAACCTAAAGCAAAAGCTCAAAAAGCTAAAGATTTTTCTGGATTATAGCTAGCAGCAGCAAATGTTTTCTGTAGACTATTTTAAGCTAGTTGTTTGGATACTACAGTATTTGTTTTAAAGACTGTTCTGTATGTGGTTTAGTGCCACAGAAACTACACAAATAAAGCAAGATTGTAAATTGAGACTGAATAATGCATGACTTTTCAAATAATGGAAAGCAATATGAACGTATCTTCAGAAAACTCAAGTGTGTTTTAGGCCACTTGAAATCAAATCTATCATACAGGATTTTTTTTTCTTGTAGTCTGTCAGTTACCAATGCTTTTCTTAAGTTGATCTGCAATGAAAATAAAATATAAATTTAAATTGGATTAACTATAAGCTTTTAATCTAGAACTTGTTTCATGTTTATGTTGGGTGATATTTCTCTGAACATAATGTACGTTGTCAAGCTTGGCATACTTACCTGGAAAAGCATTATTGCTCAACATCTTGTAAATGAAAAATAACTGCCTATAACATGAATGCTTTCTTTTTGGTAAGGACCAGGTTAAAGAGAAATGTACAATATGGTTTGAAGTCTTAGACTGTTATTAATAATTTCTGGCTGGCTTTTTATTTGACATTTAACACCTGTCAGTTTGTTTATTTTTAGCAAGATGCATTGTATGTGGCTGTCATTTCTTATGTGTGCTTTTGTGTTGCATGGATTTATGTCTGTATGGTGTCATGAAATTTGAAAATGTGGGTTTTTTCTTTGGCAGACACTATTAATGACAAAAATTTGTTGTAGGGCTATATAGAAATAATCTTGTAGTATGATTAAGCCACTGAATCTGCTGCCAGCATCAACAGGAAATGAATAGTGATTCAAGATGAAGTTGTAATGAAAGACAACTAAGGCACCTGTATTTCACTTATAGCTTTGGCTAAGAGATTCTGTAGAATTATAAAGACATATAAGATAGGCCGGGCACGGTGGCTCACGCCTGTAATCCTAGCACTCTGGGTGGCCAAGGCGGGCGGATTGTTTGAGCTCAGGAGTTCGAAACCAGCCTGAGCAAGAGCGAGACCCTTCTCTACTAAAAATAGAAAGAAATTAATCGGACAACTAAAAATATATAGAAAAAATTTGGTGGCGTACACCTGTAGTCCCAGCTACTCGGGAGGCTGAGGCAGTAGGATCGCTTGAGCCCAGGAGTTTGAGGTTGCTGTGAGCTAGGCTAACGCCACAGCACTCTAGCCCAGGCAACACAGTGAGACTCTGTCTCAAAAAAAAAAAAAAGACAGCAAAAAGGAAGGGAAAATAAAGCTGATATGAGTTACTTGCTGGGAATTTTTTCCCTGCAGGGGATATTTGATAATATCCGGAGACATTTTTATATTCCCCTAACTGGGCAGGTGGGGGTGTGTGTGCTACAGGCATCTACTAGCACCTTCACAGCCAGGGATGCTGCTAAAGGTCATATAATATACACGTGGGTCCCCTGTAACAAATAATTTTCTGGCCCCAAAATGTCAATAGTGCTGCTGTTGAGAAACTCTGTTTAGACTGTAAATCTACCAATCAAAAATCCTCATTACATTGCCTTATTCTAGTTTATGGTAATTCCAAAGCCTCACATCCAGGTTTTAGCATTAATTGCTCTTCAGAGAATTCCTATAGTACCTAACGAAAATATGTTAATACTTAGAGGTATATAAATAAACACATTCACACCTCCCTCTGAAAGTTGGGGACCTTTAAGTTAGTGTCCTAGAATTTCTGTTAGCTGTGCAAGGCTATCAGTGATTTTTATATTTGAGAAAATTTGCCACAAGTTGGTTCTTCTTGATCCCTTACTCCTTAGATATTCCTCTGTAAAGTTCCTGAAATGACATTATAAAATGAAACACCTTAATACCAACCAAAAAGTGCCAGGGCCATAGCAGGTGATCTGCGTAGTGGGAGAAGAGAATAAGACTTTTAGTGATCTTGTTTCCATGATTGACACCTTCTTCCTTAGACATTCCCTTTCTTCCCACCTTCCCCTTAAATGTTATTTAAAAAATTCCATTCAACTGAAAAGAGAGGATGTTTATATTTTTTTGGAAAAATATCCAAATGCAGTTCTAAGTTGAAGCCTTACCAAATAAGAAAATACAAGTGAAACAGGTAAATTTATTTTTTGCTTTTTTTTTTTTTTTACACACACCTATTTGATTTTGTCTGTAGAAGAAGCAGGTAAATGAATTATAAGAGAATTATGATGTGATTTGCCAGCAAATAGTCCCTCATTCAATAAAATGCACTAGAGCTGTGCAGTCTTTCATAGTTTTCCCAAATAATTTTCCTGACACTATCTTTGGTGCTTATCTCAATTCCGTGCAGTAGACAGGCACGTAGGTGTTATCTGCATTTTAGGTGGAGAAAGAAAAACAAACATTGCAGCTTGCCCAAGGACATATAACTGGTGAGTGGTAGAACCGGACCAGGGCTTTGCCCCGTGAGATAATCCACGTAGACTGCATGACGGTGTTGCCGGCACACGCTAAGCTCACAGAATAAATATTATGCTGTTAATGCTGATAAGGAAGGAAAGAATTCTTCATAATCTGGCTGAGAGATTCCTGTACTCCAAAAGTTCTAGGTTTTATCGTAACCTCTCTGATTTGAAGCAGCTTGGAGAGATAGATAGCTTTTGGGAGATCCCATGCAATCATATTTGCTTTTGTAAGAATTGGCATACCGCACCCAATGGTTTTAAAAATGCCATCAACACAACCATATCCAATTCTCATAATAATCCCTTCCTCACTTAGCATATGAGGGACTGAAGCTCAGAATCGAACTGATATTGTTAGGTGGGGGTGAAAATTGGTGCCACAGCTGGGCCTGGAGCCCTCCCCTCCTGGCTGGTTCCTGTGCCTGGCTCAACCTGCCATGGAGTGTGCTCAGGCTCTCTGGGGATGATTTTATACACCTTAGGAAACACATCGAGCTCACATGCCTGCCTTACACAGGGACTTGTCTACTCCAGATTGTATTTGGCTCACTTTGTTCATATCAAGGACCTGCTCTGTGCCAGGCTCTGCTCAGTGCTGGGTGCACAGGAGAAGGATATAGCCTCTGCCCTTGATGAGCACATTTCATGGGCAGACACGTTAACATTTCACAGTGCAGGAGGATGAGGACTAGAAGTGCGCCCTGGGAGGTTTTTGGGCCGGTCCACACCATGTAGCTTTCCTTTCAGCAAAAGATTATTAAAATATTAGTATTTCCATTTTTGTTCTGGAGTTTACATAACCTCATGTGTCCAGATTCCCCTTGTTCCTTAGTCCTGAAAATTTTTTCCTGCCTCTTCTTACTGAGTCCATTGTAATATTAGCTCAAATAGCCTTATTCTTTGCAATATGATTTAAGTGAATTTATAATCTCAAATTCACACAAATTAGTCTTATGTGTAGTCATACCTAGTTAGATTACATTAACAGATCCATATATATTCATGTATTTCCTCATATATTCTGTCTATATAATTTATTCCTTAATATTCCTTAATAAATCTTATAAAACTTTCTTTATAGAACTTTGGATAGTGGTAATTCACAAAAAGAATTAGAAACACTTCAAATATAGTATATTTTGCTTAATTAAATATGATAAAACCTACCTCATTCTTACTACAGATATTAAATGAGTATATCCTTCATGCCTTGTGCTGTATTAATGTGTTTTCCTCCCAAGCAACATATGACTTGTGAGGGAAATAAGCTAAGCACGTACAGGTACTTGTGCACTATATATAACGTAAGGCTGAGTGTTAAGTACCATGAAAAAAATATAGCTAAAGCATTAGAGGAATTGAGAGAAGGGGCAGACCACTTCTTTTTTTTTTTTTTTTTTTTTGAGACAGAGTCTCACTCTTTTGCCCGGGCTAGAGTGAGTGCCGTGGCGTCAGCCTAGCTCACAGCAACCTCAAACTCCTGGGCTAAAGCGATCCTCCTGCCTCAGCCTCCCGAGTAGCTGGGACTACAGGCATGCACCACCATGCCCGGCTAATTTTTTCTATATATTTTTAGTTGTCCAGCTAATTTCTTTCTATTTTTAGTAGAGACGGGGTCTTGCTCTCGCTGGGGCTGATATCGAACTCCTGAGCTAAAACAATCTGCCCGCCTCGGCCTCCCAGAGTGCTAGGATTACAGGCGTGAGCCACTGTGCCCGGCCAGACCACTTTTACTATGGAAGAGCTAGGAAGACTTTATCAAAGAGATAGAATATTATCTAGATCATTAATTTAACACACTGAGCACTAACCATGGGCTGGGCTCTCTTTTAGGCCCAGCTAATATGCCAGCAAATAAATCAGTGAAAAATCCTGCTTTATAATCTTACAGGACAAGGCAAGTGATATGTAAACAAATACACACTTCAGATGGCAATAAATGCCATAGAGGTATAAGGGTAAGGAGGAAGGTGAGCCAGAGAAGAGAAGAGGGGCATTCACTGTTTTTTGTAGGGTGATTAGAGAAGGAAACACTGAGGGAACATTTAAGCAGATGCCTGGAAGTGAAGGAAAAGCCGTATGGATATTTGTGTGAAGAGCATTCCTTGTAGATTGAAGAGCAGTGGGAGCAAGTGGTTTGAGCAGAGCCAGGAAGCTGCTTAGCTGGAACAGAGCGAGCGGGAGTCTGGTGTGAATGAGCATGGAGGGAGGTAGGAACCAGGTGATGTTGGCCTTGGAAGAAGCTTCTTTTAACTCTAGTGAGATGGGAGGAAAGTGGTAGGTGCTGAGAAGAGGCATCCATAATCCAAGGGTAGTCTGAAAGGATCTCTCTGGCTGCTGTGTCGAGAATATGCTTTTGGATGGGTAAGTCCAAAGAAGCAGGGAGATTGTTGTTGTAATCCAGGTGGGAGATGGGATGTGATTATTGTAATCATAATAATCCAGGTGGGAGATGCTTGGATCGGGGTGAGGTGGTGGAGGCAGTGAGAAGTGGTTGTGTCCTAGATATATTTAGAAGGTAGTGTGACAGGATTTACTGATGGGATCAGTTACGATGTGAGAGAAAGAGAGGGATCCAGGATGACTCCGAGATTTGTGACCTCAAGTAGGGAAGGATGGAGTTGACTTTTACTGAGATGAGGAAGATGAGAAATGAGCAGGTTGTTGAGTGAGCAATCATGTTTTTAGTCTGTGCCAATTTAAGTTTGAAATACCTGATAGACTTCCAAGTGGAGAATGCATAAGAAGTTGTACGTACCCAACCAGAGTTTAGTCTTGCAGGGATCCTGAGGAAGGAATGGCATTTAAAAAGGTATATATTCTGGTGAAGGGCTTTTGACTCGGAGGGAACAGCTGAGGAAGGACCTTCCCTGGCCCTGGAGACTCGGTGATACTTTATGAAGCTATTTTGGAAGTCCAGGTAAGAGTTGACTGTACTCTGATCTAGGGTGTTGGCAGTAGAGATGGAAAGAAAGAGACACTAAATGAGAGGACTTGATAACTCACTGAAAGTGGGGAGAAGGAGAAAACAAAGATGAAAAATGGTTCTTAGGTTTCAAATATGGATGATTGAAGGGCAGGTAACAGCATTAACAACCACAAGAGGAAAAGCAGGTTTGGGGACAAGATCGAGCTTAGCTACATCAACAGTAACCATGTGTTTTAGTGAGATACAGTCCACAAAATTATTTCAGTTGGTACTTTTACAATTGAAGTGCCCAGGAGATAATCCATGCAGAAATGTTTATTCAAGAAGCAATTGGAAGTGAATCAAAGGAGGGGCTGGTCCTGAGCTGTAGATTTCAGAGTCATTTTCATGGAAGTTGTAACTGAATTTCTGAGCTAGATAACAGCAAGTGTGATATGAAAAAATGTGATGGCAAAATATTGAGGAAGGCAGAGTTTAGGTGCCCAAGAAGAAGAAGATGTAGAGTTACTTAAGTAACTAAAAGTATAGTCAATTACAGTGAAATAAAATCAGAAGTGTAGTGTGAGAGATCTGTAGGAGAGAGCATTTTGAGTACCCTACCTTCAAAAGCTGGCTCTATCTCTCATTTCTATCAGCTCCTGAATACTCAGACCTAACCCCTCTCCTTCCCAGAGACCTTCCTCAGGTTGTCTTCTCCCTTTCTCCTGTGGTATAGTTTACCAATCCCTGGTACATGCATGTAAACAGCATACAAGCGCCTGTGTCCAACACCGCCCTCTGTTCACTGGTTTCTGCTGTGGATTGTGCTCTTCAAGACCTAAACCTCATTGTATCCTCGGGGAGGTGTTACAAGTTGAATGCATGAAAGCTGTCTTAATTTTTTTAAAAAAAGGCTAGAGAGGTAGTTATAACAGGTAGTTAGAAACTACCAGTGGTGCTTTGAGAACAAGTATAGTGCAGTAATGGGGCAGATCTTACAGAATCTTTGAGAAGCAGCAGCACATTTATTCATGGTATTGAACTTCAGGAGAAAATATCAGGTAATCATTAAATTATTTAATAAGTGCACAGAAAAGGCAGCCAAATGTCAACAGCTTATCTTCATGGGAGATAGAGAAATAGAGATATTTCTAGTGTGACTGACAAATATTTTCTAAAGTAATCCTTTTATGCATTGACGTCTATAAATATGAACACTAGACTATGTTTTATTAGACTTGTGCAAAGTTAATCTAGCCATTTTGTGAAAAAAAAAATTCAGACTTAAATTGAGTGCAAGGCTCTTGTTTCTGCGTTTTGGAAAAAACACCATTTATCTTTGTAGTGCTACTTCTGTGATACTATCACTGAAGCGTCTAGTTAGTACAGCAGAAATTTAGGTGGAATTTCCAGATGTAAGTCCAACCTTCCAGTTTTACCCCTAAGTCTGGTCATGTGAACTTTGGTAACCACGGGTATTCTTGTTGTAGGAGTAAGTCCATGAGTGATGTCAGCGCAGAGGATGTTCAAAACTTGCGTCAGCTGCGTTACGAGGAGATGGAGAAAATAAAATTACAATTAAAAGAACAAGATCAGAAATGGCAGGATGTGAGTATTCTTTAGGATGGGAGAGGGGGGAGTGTATTTGACTTTGCTTGTCTTAAAAGAAAATCAGTATCCTTTACAAAGATTTTGAAACCTTTTTGGCCTATTACTGTTGTATATTTTAAAAGCCATTGTAAAATATAGGATGTTTATCTTCTAATATTTTGAGTTTTCAAAAATGTGAAGGTGCTTCCTTGCAGCATTATTAACTTATTTTGGTGGTTGAATTTGGGGTGTGAATGTTAGTTATGCTTAAAATGGGAAAAGATCTTGCCAAAGTTTAGGGACAGAAGAGGGGCAGGGTCTAGCACAGATCTTGGCATCAGTAGGGAGAGAGGAAAAGAGTTCTTAAGAGTTAATTAAGGAGATTTGGAGAGAAATAAGTAGTATAATCCAGAGTAATATTTTGGCTGAAGAAGTCATTATCTAATATGAATCAAAATTAGGTATTTTCATAAGGCTGACATGTATCCAGTTGTTTATGTGGATATAGACTTGATCTTTAATTTTGATTCTGAAGAAAAAAGCTTGAGTTTTTTTGAATAGATTGTTATAAACTGAAGGAATATAAAGAAACACAATAGATAAACTGTTGTACAAAGCAAACCCAAAAAAGTTTGAGGACAACTCTCTGGTAAGAGTTGAGTGGGTAACATGAACACGGGGGCCAGATGTAGTAAATCTTAATTTTCAAAGGAATTAAAGTCTATGAAATGAAGAAGAAACCCCTGCTTTGGCTAAATTTTTAAATGCTAGTGCTTTTAATTGGGAACTCAATTTAATTGTCAAGAAACAGTAATTCAGTGTCATTTTGTCAAAATACAGGGTGAATTTTTTGGTATGAAAATACGTATTGAGGGGTTATCCATTAGGTTAATTTAGATGAAAATTCATGTTAGTTATCCCGTAGGACTGAATGCACACTCCTTTTGTTCTCTCTGGAAATTTATAGGGTTTCAGGCTGTTTTTAAAGAAGGAGTGGTTCTGTGGGCCCCCAAAGGGTATAACCCAAACTTACTTTGTATGCTCTGGGGTGAGGTTCAGTTTAGTCTGAGACATTGAATATGCTTCTGTTTGGGCTGGAATGCCACTATCAGTTCTTAGCATGGCATTTCTCTATTTTGGAGACAGAGAGGTTTGTACCTTCCAAAATGTCTTACAGCCCTGGGTGTCAGAGCCAGCCTACATTGCTAGGGGCAATTGAAAAGCTGAATTAGGTTGATTGTCTTTGGGGTCACCCAACTAGGTTAGACTTACGTTCCTGGGGATATGGTTGGCTCGTTCCTGCATGATATTCCTTAATGTCCTAATTTTTTGCACTTAACCCTTTTGAAGTCATATACTTGAGTCTCACCTGCTTAGTAAAGCCTTTCCAAATAAATTCTCTCCTTCCCGAGGTAGAATTGACCTCTCTCTCCTTCGGACGCCCCACTCTCCCATGCAATCCTGTCACGCTCATTACTGAACTTCTACGCGCATGTCCGTCTCTCCCTTCTAGACTCAGAGTTCCTTAAGGGGAACCACATTTTATTCCTCTGTGTATTTACAGTCCCTAGCACTGGGCTGGCCTTAAAGAGGGGATTGAGTTTGTGCTTGTTAAATGAAAGACGGACTGTGCATCTGTACTTAACCATTACAATCAAGTTTCTGTTTCAGTTTTACCAGTGAAACATGTCATTTCACGTAACTGCCAGGTTTGGGGAGTGAGATGAAAATGAATTTGAAACAGTTCCTGATCCGTCTAACTGGCACCTAATTACAAGCATTTAGCATTCTTTGTGAAGTGGACAATGAGGCAGTCACTTTCTGGGAAAACAAAAATGGGGTCTATCTTAGTAGGTCAGGTTTGCCAGGCAGACACATGAGATAAAGGCTTGGTACAGAAACGCTGGCTATAAAAAGCAAAATTAGGGCACCTTGGCATCAAGTTGAAGTGAATAGTTTCAGTGATGTAATAGGATACTCTGGTGTGCTGTCGCTGCTAGATTGGGTATGTAGAAATTCAGGTATGCCTGTGCTGATGTGATTTTCTGTCAGGACCTTGCAAAATGGAAAGATCGTCGAAAAAGTTACACTTCAGATTTGCAGAAGAAAAAAGAAGAGAGGGAAGAAATTGAAAAGCAGGCGCTTGAGAAGTCCGAGAGAAGCTCTAAGACGTTTAAGGAAATGCTGCAGGACAGGTAATAAGGCTGAATACATCTCACGGTTGGAGATGCCATTGTTAGATATTTTTGTGTAAGTATAGTGTGACATAAGTACTCACCAATATTAAACTTTAAGCGAATATGCAGTAAAACGGTCAAGATTTTGCTGAAGTATTACTGAAATAGCGACCTAGAGTAACCAAAGAAATGAGTACTTAAAATAGATATGCATTATTTCTTTTTACATTGTGCATTCACAGGCAGAAGTGGTTGGTGCTGGCTGTATTTGGTACAGAAAATATACTACTCTTTACTCTTTTTAAGTGAATTTAGAAATGGAATAGTCTAATGAAATCAGCTGTCACTTTTAACTAAATTGTGTAAAACATACCAAAGTTCTTTTTCATGTTCAGTGGTGCAATTCAGATTATATTTTAAAGGAAGTTTATATAAACGTGAGTATGTGGGATTTATTCTTTGTATTGCAACACAACAGTATAAAGGTCAAATTTAAACTTTCCCATAAGGTAGTTACTATGTGAAACCTTAGGATATTTACAGGTTAGAGAGAGGGCAAATATGCTTTTAGAATAATGTCAAAGGGAGATATGCTGCCAGGTGAAATTAAACAAAGCTCCTTTTGTGCCCTAAAAGCCAAGGATAAGCACAGTTTCATTCACTTAAACACAATTCCGTTTGCTTGGGAGGTAGGTACTTCTTTCTAAATGGGAGAAATGAGGATGCTTCATGAACTTTTCTGTAAATATGAATGGTGACTTTTAATCTATAATAATTATCCATACAAGTTCTGTCAAACTGTATGAAATAATATACTTACTTGATCTTCACAAAAACCAGAGTCTGTTGTGGTCTTTTATTTTTATTAAATTATTATAGACGTTATGTAGGAAAAAAAGCTCACAATGATGTCAAGGAATCCACAACTTTGGAACGTTCGAATTGCTTGTCAGTCAATTATATTTATAGTGTTTTAAATATGAAAAAGTTATAAACTTGTGGATAAACTTTTGTGAATAATCCCTTATTAAAATTTCCTTATTTTCTTATTAAAATATCTTTACAATAAAAAAAAAAATCCCTGTGACCTGTGAAGTATTTGAAAGCTTCTTTAATAAAAAAGTCAAGTTCTTATAACCTTGGTTTTGGCATTAAAAATAAATATATCCTTTATTCTATGAGTGCTTTATTGATTACTGTGTGAAGTCAGTAGTCTTTTTATTCTGAGTCCATTTTATATGTTAATTCTGTCCACCTCTGTGTGTCGAAATGTGTAACTTTGTGATGATGGTGTGTTTTTTTTTTTTGCTCAGGGAATCCCAAAAGGAAAAGTCTTCAATCACATTGAGGAGGAGGATGTATTCTTATGATGATGTACTGAATGAAGAAGAGCCACCCTCCATACCGACTATGCCAGAAGTAAGTTACCAGAGTGAGAGAGTAGAAGAGAAAGGAACAACTTACCTTACAGAAATTCCTAAAGAAGATTCTACAACTTTTGCGAAAAGAGAGGACAATATAACAGCTGAAATTCAGCTTCCTTCTAAAGGCCCCCAGGAAGAACAACACCCAGCCTCTTTGTCTGCTCCATGTTCGCTGAGTACACAAATGGCCTCGACTCGTGTTTCAGCTTCCCTCCCTAGAAGTTACCAGAAAACTGATACAGTCAGGTTAACATCTGTGGTCACGGCAAGACCTTTCGTCTTTCAGTCAAGGGGAATCTCATCACTCCCCAGATCCTACACGGTAAAAAACGTTTCTAGTTCATTTAGTCTGTTCTGAAGAGCAAAATGTTGGTGAACTTATGCCTTATATCTAAGCCAGTTCTATTTTATGCCAATTGAGGTTCCATGGAAATTTAATGCTTAAGATACAGCAATGATGCAGAATGTATTCAATTTAAATTCTTTGAAAGTAGGGGTTAATACATGTTAAAGAATGAGTAAGATATAAGGCAGGGCATTATTTCTTAGTGTCGTATTTTTCCAAATATAGTTTTTATGAAGTATTAGGTTGAACAGTATGAAGTTGCCAGTGGTTTCTTTTTGACGTACAAAACAGCAATTTCATATGGTTTAACCTAAATATTTTCAGGTTAATTTTCTGAAAATTGAGAAAATTGATTTTTCCTGATTTCTCACTTTGTGAGAACTTGAAATGTTTGAATATAATCATTAAAATGTATCTTATTGTTCAAATATATGCATTTCTATATATATCAGAATTTTGAAGGATAATAGAATATTGATGCATTATTCCTGAGAATGAAGTGGTACCACATATCTGACAGTGAGCATGTTAATCTGACTTATGTGCAAGGAAACAATATGGTTTTAAAATTAATGTTCACATTTCTTTTAGCTCTGCTAATGTACAATCCTGAAACCTAAAAGAGAAAACATAAAAAATTGAGTATTTGGGGTGAGAGAAGCCTACCTACACTAGCCACTCCTGACCATCATATCACGGACAACATAGACATGTTTCACATCGTACAAATTATATGGCAGATACCATTAATCTAGTAAAAAGACAATTTATAGACTGAGAGAAATATTACCAAAATATAAAGTATAATATCTCTAAGATATAAAATGTTTCTACAAATTGGTAAGGAAAAGATAAACACTAGAAAAATGGATATAGAAAAGCAGTGGCCAATTCGAGGGAGAAGGAATTTAAATGGCTGATCACTGAAAGCACATAGAAGCACGTTCAGCTTCATCGGAGCAAGAATGAGGTGTACGACTCTTTACCCATCGTGTTAATAAAGATTTAAAACATTGTAGATGTCTAGTGTCGGCAAAGATGCAGAGAAACAGATATACGTTACCTTGGGAGTGCATTGTTACAATTATTATTTTTTTTTGGAAATTATATACATAAAACTTTTGTTCTAGAAAGCCTACTTTTGGAAATCTGTGATATAAAAACAAAAGGTCCAATTATAAAGATATATTGGTATTTTTTGCAATATTTTTGAAAGTGACAGAAAATTTAAACAACTTTAAATGTACATTAAATGAATAAATTGTTGATGTCCATACTATGGAATATTCAGCAATTGAAGGGACTGGTTTAGAGTTCTATCGACCAGGAGTGCTATAAATGAGCAAAACAAATTTCAGAAGTCTTTATATAATATGAACACTTTTGTGAAAACAATTCTTTCCACTATGTGTGTATATCTGATGATGTGAAAGATAAAGACCATACTCCAAACTTTTAGCAATAGTTATTTTATTGTGGGAGCTATGTTATTTTCATATTTTAAAAATATTAATTTAATAAGTTTTAAAACAGAAATGAAGGTAACAGGATATCAGGCTTAAAGTGTTTTCTTACTTAGATGGATGCTGCTTGGAAGTATAATGGAGATGTTGATGGCATTAAAAGAACGCAAAACAATTTGGTCAGCACCCCCGCACAACATCTTGAAGCCAGCCAGCTTGCTACGAGCTCATCGAACCAGGAGGCAGCAGTCTCAGAAGATGTAATGAGGTTGCCCTCTCCTACACCCTCCTTCTCATCTCTTTCCCAAGACCAGGCTGCCACTTCTAAAGCCACATTGTCTTCACTATCTGGCCTTGATTTAATGTCCGAATCTGGAGAAGGGGGAAACTCACCCCAAAGAGAGGTCCCAAGATCACGGGTGAGTTTAGGTCTTTATCATCCATGGCTCAGACACTTACATATTTAAATCTGAAAGCCATGTTTCTAACCTCTAGGCATTAGAATCTGGGCTGATAATGTGAAAAATGATATTGCAGTTTATTTTTAATAGATCTTGGAGAAAGTAGGTCTCTTCCAATTCTGAGTTTATAGATCAGATAACTCTTGTGGTAAGTGTGTAGAGAGACTTTATGGACCAGTCTCCTTGGGGGTTCAGCTGGTGTTTTCTCTGTTCCACATTTCATCAGCTCTTGCCTCATGCTACTTGTGCCCCATAGTCCCAGGTTTCAGGTGCAGGAGTCACTGAAAGGTTCTAGATGCAGATCTAGCATACATGTGGGTAGTAAAAGCCCCTTCCCAGGGGAATTAACTGGTCACAGTGAGAAATTGATTCACATGGTAGGTGCTGGCTTCTAGGGATATGATATTTCTATTTCTGTCAGCTTAACATTCTGGTGACCTTTTTTTTTTTTGAGACAGAGTCTCACTCTGTTGCCCAAGCTGGAGTGCAGTGGTATCATCATAGCTCACTGCAATCTCAAACTCCTGGGCTCAAGTGATCCTCTTTCCTCAGCTTCCCAAGTAACTGGAACTACAGGCATGTGCCACCATACCCAGCTAATTTTTATTTTTATTTTTTTAGAGACAGGGTCTCGCTATTGCTCATGGTGGTCTTGAATTCCTGGCCTCAAGTGATCCTCCCACCTCGGCCTCCCAA